TGTTCTCTTAACCATTTTTGGGTCTACTTGGGAACCTTGAATTTCGTTTTCTTATCACAACGGAAATGACTCCCAAAAGACATGCCATACCCTGTCTGGACTGGCGACACGAGCCAAAGAAGACAGAAAGAACTTGGAAATCCGCATTCGCCCGGACTTGAGCAATGCCTTGCCTTGCGATAAAATCTGCACGAGGCAAGTAGAGGCCACTCCGGGCATGGTGGAGAGGTTCCAACTCCTGTGTGTCAACTGTCGCTGGCTGGGGACAGCTGCCTGGAAAGCTCTGTTGGCAGAACACCAAGGCCGTGCCCAGGGAAACGAAGCGCGGCGACTCACGATGCCGGCGGGGCTGGCACACAGGCGGGCCACCGGCACCGCCGCCTGAGCGGACCTCGGCCAGCGCCGCCCCGCAGCCCAGTGCCTTCTGCTCGCGTCCCACCAGCCTGGCCTTCAGCCTGCCCCCGTCTCGGGCAGAACCCAAGCTCAGAGGCAGAAGGGCACCCCCCCAGTGAGAAACTTTGAGTAGGAGGACTCAGTGATCGCCATGGAACTAGAAGGAACCAACTCACACTTCCGAACGGCTCTCTCCACGTGGTGACCACCCGCAGGAATGTTCTCTCTCCTGCGCAGCTGTCAACTGTCACAGACCAGCAAAGGGGGCCTGGGCTCCGCTCAGCTGCTCTAGTGTGGCTGACACTACGAACGGCTGACTGGTAACCATCTCTCCTCCTCTTTTTGCTAACTTCCCTTGTCTATCCGACATCAAATGATCAATGACTGTAACAGCAAAGTGGATCCAATTCCAAGGCGTATTTAATGTACTGGATTCTGAATGCACATCTTCATTTGGGGGAAAAAATGTAAAAGGAGAAGAGAGACTTACTACATCGCTGCAGAAGTCTCGTTTGAGGCTGTTTCTTAAGTGGGAAGGGGTAGAATTAGCACCACAGCACCCTGACGTGGCCCTCGAGTACATGGTTCGAAAAGAGAGCAAGGCCAGGTGCGGTGGCTCACACCTGTCATCCCAGCACTCTGGGAGGCTGAGGCAGGGTGGATCGCTCAAGGTCAGGAGTTCGAAACCAGCCTGAGCAAGAGTGAGACCCCGTCTCTACTATAAGTAGAAAGAAATTAATTGGCCAACTAAAAATATATAGAAAAAATTAGCTGGGGGCTGGGCACGGTGGCTCAGGCCTGTAATCCTAGCACTCTGGGAGGCCAAGGTAGGAGGATTGCTCGAGGTCAGGAGTTCAAAACCAGCCTGGGCAAGACCCTGTCTCTACTAAAAATAGAAAGAAATTAATTGGCCAACTAAAAATATATATACAAAAAATGAGCCGGGCATGGTGGCTCATGCCTGTAGTCCCTCCCAGCTACTTGGGAGGCTGAGGCAGGAGGATCGCTTGAGCCCAGGAGATTGAGGTTGCTGTGAGCAAGGCTGACGCCACAGCACTCACTCTACCCTGGGCAACAAAGTGACACTCTGTCTCAAAAAAATAATAAGAAAAAGAAAGCTGAGGCCGGGCACGGTGGCTCACGCCTGTCATCCTAGCACTCTGGGAGGCCGAGGCGGGAGGATCGCTCAAGGTCAAGAGTTCAAAACCAGCCTGAGCGAGAGTGAGACCCCGTCTCTACTAAAAAATAGAAAGGAATTAGCCAGTCAACTAAAAACGAAACAAAAAGTTAGCCGGGCGTGGTGGCGCATGCCTGTAGTCCCAGCTCCTCGGGAGGAGGCTGAGGCAGGAGGATCGCTTGAGCCCGGGAGTTGGAGGTTGCTGTGAGCGAGGCTGACGCCACGGCACTCTACTCAGGGCAACAGAGCGAGACTCTGTCATTCATTCATTCATTCATTCATTCACAAATAAATAAATAAACAGAAGCAAGCTGAGCGATGACACGAGTGCCGGGGGTGGGGGCGACTCACCTCAGGGGCAGGAGGACGCAATAGCGCACTATGACGCCCAGCACCCACACCAGGGTGAGCCTTGGGCTGACGTAGTGGAAATTTATGTTGGTCCTGGTGAGGAGATTCCATGACACCAGCTCCTCTGAGGAGAACCTCTGGGTCACTTCGTCTTCCACGATGGCTTCCAGTCCCTTCTTGGAGAAATAAAACACGTCAGACAGCTCAAAGTCCCTTCCTGGCAGGCCAGAGAGCCCCTGCTCCATGGGTGACTCATCTCTTTGGATGATACCTTGAAAGAAAGCAGCAGGACATGAGAAAATGCCGTAGGACCCAACAACTGACCAAAGGAGCAACTTTGTGTAGAAAACAAGAAACCAGTTAACAAGTTTTAATGGGTGACATGAAAGCAGATTTCAGGTAAGAGACAAGCAATGAGGCCGGGCGCGGTGGCTCACGCCAAAGAGGGCGACTCACCCTCAGGGGCAGGGAGACGCAATAGCGCACTATGGACGCCCAGGCCACCCACACCAGGGTGAGCAGTTGGCTGACTAGTGGAATATTTATGTGGTCCTGGTGAGGAGATTCCATTACACCACTCCTCTGAGAGAAACCTCTGGGTCATTCGTCTTCCACATGGCCTTCCAGTCCCTTCTTGGAGAATAAAACACGTCAGACAGCTCAAAGTCCCTTCCTGCAGCCAAGAGCCCTGGCTCCATGGGTGACTCCATCTCTTTTGGATATACCTTGAAAAAGAAGCAGCAGGACAATAGAAAATGCGTAGGACCCAACAACTGACCAAAGAGTAACTTTGTGTAGAAAAAGAAACCAGGTTACAATTTTAATGGGGACATGAAAGCAATTCAGGTAAAGAGACAAGCATGATGGCCGGGCAGCGGTGGCTCACGCCTGTCATCTCCCGCACTTTCATGGGAGGCCGAGGCGCAGGAGGATCGCTCGAGACCTCAGGATTCGAACCCAGCCTGAGCAACGAGCAAGGACCCTCTGTACTCTACTAAATAATACAAATGAATTAATTGGCAACTAAAATAATAATAAATATATATATGATAATATAGATACCAGGCATCGTGTGGCGCATGCTGTATCCCAGCACTCGGAGGCTGAGGCAGGAGGAATTTGGCTTGAGCCAGAGTGTGAAGGTTAGCTGTGCGAGGCTGAGCCACACTGCCATCTAGCCCAGGCGAGAGAGTAGGACTCTGTCTCAGAGAAAAAAAATGAGAGAGACAAAGAAACACGATGCAATCTCAGTGAAAGAGAGAGGAACCCAATGATTTCAATTAATTAAGAGGAATTTGGGTCCCTCTAAAACCTTTTGCTGTGGATTCCCTCCTACGCTGCCATGAGCAAGAAAATCCACAGAAACTAACTGTTCCCAAATATAGTCTAGACTGTGAAGAAATAAAACTTCTGTCCTCCCTATAAAAATCATAAAGTCAAAAACTAAGAGGACGGGCGCAGGACCTCCTATAATCCTATACCACCTGGGAGGCTGAGGCCAAGGTGCTTGAGGTCAGGAGATTGGAACAGCCTAGCAAGTGAGACCCGTCTCCTAGTAAAAATACAAGAATTAGCCCAGACAACTATAAAATATATAGGAAAATTAGCCTGGCCATCGTGGGTGCATCCCTGTATCCCAGCTACTCAGGAGCTGAAGTGAAGAATCGCTGACCCAGGGGTTCAAGCTGCATGAGGCCATGATCTCCGCCATTCATACTCAAACATGAAACCAACCGTTTGCCCCAAATAAATAAACACACAGGCTAATGTTTATGGTTTTAGGTTGGGATTTTTTTTTGGGGGGGCGGTTTTTGTTTGCCCACACCAAAGCCGAATACCTAAACACCTTAACCTTTGCACTCGGATGTCGAGAGTGACTCGACACGCTTAGCAAAAATTATAAGTTAAACATTACTCTTTGAAATGTATCAAATTGAAATATTAAAAAATCCAAAATAATAAGTTGGTATGAAAAAACCTCCAGCTTTTTATTCTACTGTCGCCGCTTTGATAAATCTGGGAGTATTTAAAAAATAAATCCTGAGTAGAATAAAAGGAATCGAGAAAAATCGCAAGCATGTCATAAGGTTAAGAATTAGAGCAGTAAATTAATTCTTGACACGACATTAGGTTTATCTTTTTACGAGCTATCTAATGTGGTTTACGCTCCTTCACCTCACCATCTC